TTTTTCATTTTTTCCATATTTCTATATTTATTCAATATTGAAATAGTTTTAGTTTTTAAATTTTTTAAGAAATTTTTATTTCTCTTTTTTCAATATTTAATTTTTGTTTATTTTTTTAAGGTTAAATCCGCTGACGGCCGTTTCTTCTTGGCTGGCATTATCTCGTGGGGCATTGGCTGTGCGGAGGCAAATTTGCCCGGCGTTTGCACACGCATCTCGCGTTTCGTACCCTGGATCATGGAAAATGTATCGTGATAGATTTGGCTCGTGACAAGGCCGGCTTGCAATCACTTCGTAAATGGACTGTAAATATTTAGGAATTTTAGTTTTGTCTGCAATATTCTAGGCATTACTGTGCTCCGTGCTTTCCTAAACACTTTTTTCACTATTTATAAGCATGTTTTCATATTTATAATTTATCTACCTTAGTTCAAAAACAAAAAATATATATTTACGCTGTTGAAAAACTAACTAATTTATATAAATTATGTGATTTATATTTATGCAAGTAGTTAGTCGCAATTAAATGATGAAATAGTTTTAGGTAAATTTAAATAAAATGCAATGAATTTAATAAAATAGTTTTAAAATATTTTTTAGATTTAGTAAAACACGTTAAACGCTGTATAACTGTATTTCTAATAGCGCAAATTTATTATGAATTGAATTATGTTAGAATTTAGTATTAATTGATTTTTTAATGCTAAAAATATTTACTAAATTTTAATTTTATTATTTATTCACATTTTGCAATATTTCAATTTAAGTATTTTTTCTTTATTTTCACTATTTTGTATTGCACATTATTAAGGATGTATGTATGTAAGTAGCGTGACAATATTGAAAATTATTAATTTATTTAATTTTGTACATAGTAAAAGTCATTTCATCACACTGTTGTTATAAGCTTATCATATTCGAAAGTCGAACTTTACATGTATGTAAATGTGTTAGTGAGGAAGCAATTAAAATCATAATAACATGTTTCTAATAACTGCTGCGCATAAAGCAAAATATGCAGGCAATAATTTAATAACTAAATAAACGAATTAATTAATGACTAATCTTGCCCAAAGAAGCAAACAAAATTTAAAGAAAAAAATATAAATATTTTTCATATGTTTTTGGTGTTTTTATGATGGTGAATGAGTGGCAGTGGGGTGACCAGTTCCCTTGGGAGCAGAGCAGTAAAGATTATTACATGGTCTGGATTGCACTCTGCGGTGGTAGCAGCGTGTTGACCTGGCGATGGTCAAAGCGTCTAAAGCACTAATGGGGTACAATCGATTAGCTGATAAATCCTGGGGTTGCAAACCAAGGACTGCCAGTTGGGGTACAATCCATTAGCTGATTAATCCTGGGGTTGCAAACCAAGGACTGTCAGTTGGCTGTACACCGTGATCGTGGAGCCGATAACCGTGTTTAGGGTATTGACYTATTTCTCAAGGGACAGCATTACCAAATGGATAAACTTCACCAAGAACTTTATGATTACCCTTAGCAGTAAGGCTGAATGGAATGATTCCATTCTGGAGCTACTGCTTAAKGATAATACAATCAAGGAATGAACTGAGAGCTGAGCTCGCCTGCTCCACAGCATCCACTCACATGGTAGGTCCTGATTCCTTCATCGCGGTGGGTTTTCATACCATAAAGCAGCTCCTCCGTAAGGAAAAAGGAGTAGGCCGAGAGAGGTGTCCAGAACACTTGCTATTTAACTGCAGAAGCAGGATAAAGGTCCTTAGATCMATTTTTCCAAATTGGGATCAACTCGCACCTAGCAGTGTATTGAAATTTATCAATATGCTAGAGCTAKRTGGGTCGCTGCGACTTAGGAGAASGCACAATAGACCTAAGGTCGCGGTGCAATTCTCATCTAKTTATCTTAAATTCTTCTAGTTTTCCTCTTTTTATCATGAGAATTTCSCATTTTATATAGATACTTCCTAAAAATTTGATTAGCATCTGTGTAATATAATAATCGATTTTGTAATCGTTCTAAGGTATCGCCCTTTATTTGTTTTTTCGTTGTGTTAGCATTTGTTCCTTCAACGTACATATTTTGTTTTCTCTCAAATGCCTTATCGATAGAACTTCACTGCGACCGTGACAYTTTTTYTAGGGCTTTACGTCCGTGAGTCTRCCCATAACTCTGCTYCGTAGAGCARGACATTCAGCRYAGTCGATATTAAYTTCCGTTTCAGCTGTCRGTCGTCCGATKTTGRACATTAGCCTGCTGTGTTGGCAGTTTTTTTAGAGCTATTTCCGTTGTGGATTTGTGCCCAGTAGGTAAGTCTAGGCATACACATAGGTAAGTAACAACCCTTTGTGTCCATGGAGTCTCCGTCATTTCTATACTAAATAGGAAGCATATACCTTTGTTAGCAATACCAGGTCAGTTTATTCAGTGGCAAGTTTAAGGCTGCGCTTCGTAAGGCAAATTTGTTTTCTTATCAGAACCTGGTTTTCAACCGTACCGGACTAGGTATGTACCGTCGGTCATTTTGAAACTTCATATACCGCCTTAGCTGACATTTCATAGATCTGGACCGAATATTAATCCCTGCGCAGCCCTGACGTGACCTTTAAGAATTGTGGTCTTTCAGAGCGTTAGTCTGCAAGATTGTGTCTTTCAAGTAGCTCTAAGCCATTCGGATGAGATAGGCATTTTAAAGTTTTCTTCCAAACCTTAGACCATATTTTACCATTTTCTTTTTCAAATTACTGGAAATAAGCCGGCTTTAAGGCAAGTGTTAAATATTTCTAGTAGCACGTTTGCACGGTTTTGAGCTATTACCTTTAGTACCTCTACTCATATGCCGTCTGGTCCAGGTGACTTCTTGGCTTTAACTTTTTTCGCCTCCAGTTGAAGCTTCGACGGTAAAAAGCGGTGTTTCGTTACGAGTTCCTACGGTATTGTTTCCTTCTGAAGAACTATAAATTAATGTCTCAGTTTTTACYATTAACAGAAGCTAGAAAATGATGAAGAAAGGAAATGAAAGAGCATAAGGAAAAAAGCAGTAAAAACTAAGTTCGGACAAGCAATAATGAAGTGAAAGAAAAATAAATATGAAGAGCTACTTAGTTTAATAAAAAAAAATCCATGGATCTTCGGATACGATATCGTAACAAAAAAACTCGATGAGAAACACTCAATTCCAGAGATAAATGCTGCAACAATAGAGCATATGGAGAATATGCTGTACCCAGCGTATGATCTGAGAAGAGACCAGCCAGAGTATAAGAGACCTAACGTCCATCTATTATTTTGGAGGGAATGAATGCTGCCGCGAGCACTTTAAAGGCCAACAAAGCCCTAATCCTGTCAAGTGTCCTGTAATCATGCTCTCACGTTATTGGTGGTCTTGTAATTAGAAACGATATGCTAGATAAAATCAAATCACTTTATAATTTTTTTAAGACGCGCACTGTAAATTACAATCCAGCTATTCGTAGTGTGAACTTTGAACGTTATTGTTAAATAAACACGTGACTATTTGCTGTTTGGTTATTGAAAAAATTGGGAAGACTTTAGTATACCGTCCCAGGATTTCGGKAATAAAATGGGTATGGTCGGATAGAGGAGATTCTCCAGATCACGAATATTATATAGCCACAGGAAGCTTATAGTTTTCGAGATATTCGCGATTAAAGTTGAAA